TTTTTCTACAATTAATGTGGTACGACATTGCAAAATATACAGTTAAAGTAAAAAGACCGAATTTGGGTGCACTAAAATATTAAGTACTGGAAACAAAACCGTCTTTACAAAACCCTTTGATTTCTCGAGAACGGAAAAGTTACAAGCACATCTTAATAGATTTTGAAATTCCCTCGTGGTTATCAGAATTTCAGAACATCCCAACGCTAGAAAAAATGTACAATGTACTTGATGTATACGCATAAAAAATAAAATAATTATTCATTTCCTAAATTCACATCACGATAAATCTAAATTTTTTTTTCAAAAAGCGTGACAAGCAACGATTAAGAATCAAAGATACGTTCAGACGTGCATAGCACAAGGAAACGTAAGTACAATTCGGACAGGATGAAAAATGTCTGAGAGCAGCGCATGCAAAGTCACTTCACGTGCACACATATATATATATGTACTCGCTCGCACGCGCGACGCCTCGGATTCAGTCAAAAAGTTCACCGAAGCCCAAGACGACGTCCGAGATTTTCGGCTCGCAAGGTTTTGGTGGATGAATAATGGGACTCGCAAGGAGCAAATTGCTCGATTTATCTTCACCACCTGGACCTACTCACTTCAGGAAATTCGCAAAAAATCGCTCTTACGGCCTCTTGGTTCCATTCCTCCATTTATAAAAATGGAAAAAAGTACGGAACATAACAATTATCACAGGTACGGCACACGTGCTCAATTCCACATCAATTTCAGATACAGCAATTGATTCTTCGACTGTACTTATTGATGACTCGGGGATAGGAAGTAAAGCTTATCCCAAAGGCTACGGAAAAGCGTGATTTTTAAGATAATAAAGTCTCTAAAATCGTACACAGTGCATCAAGAAATAAGATAAATTTTAATAAAAACATCGTTTCCACTCCAACCGTTTAATCCTATTCATGTGTAGTTGGGTATCAATACTGTACAATAACGAAATATCACTTTCAACCTCACGCGTGAGTGATACAGCCCCGAGGTAGAGCGATCAAATCACACCCAAGCTATAAATACATATTAGTAGAAACAGACACGGTCTGGCGTTAAAATTAGAGCACATCGCCTGGGGCTGTAATATAGGCTCCCTACCGTCATTGCCGTATTGTTGTAACAGCTGTCGATACTGACATGGACGACGATGAGGAGTGGCGGATCGTCACATGTCACCTGATAAGAATCATCCCATTCTCGTACTCGTTCGCGCGTGCCGGCAAACAAGCCACACGCGCAGATGCAGGTGTCCTCTGTGGGCTGTAGTACCTCGAAATATCGTCACCAGCTTGGGAAAAAAAATTCTAATTAAAAACTGGTTGGCCCGTAGCAGACTTTGTGAAAGATTGGTTATTTTATTTTCAATATGGCAGCCAATATGAGTCATTTTCGATATTCGGTGCCATTTTTTTCAAAGCAAAGTAATTTTTTCATCCCTTTGAAATAAAAAAAAAAGTTTTTTTCACAAAATATATATATTTATCAATCTACTACGCTATTATTGCTATATGCACGTGGTGGTGTTTTAGATTACTGCTACAACTAATGCACACACAAGCACGGCTACACGTTACTATAGTCGCTTTGAATGGTGCTACATTGCTGCTGATGGCAATGTTGATTTCAGTACTCTTATTGTTTGTTTTTGATTTGATTTTTTAGTAAACTAGAGATGAAAACGCGATATTCGTGCTTGCAATATTTGTGGGATGTAAAAAGTAGACCAAAAAAAATAAGCTCGATCAACGTAGTTTTTTTCATTTGGTTGGAACATACGGTTAACTACCACGTGCACGTGCATTAAATTAAAGTGCAAGGGCCATTTTCGTCGAATAAATAGCTGCACCATTCGTTTGGATTTTTTTTTTTTTTCACTAATTAAAAATGCTCCCGCAAAATATCGCGTTTGCAGGTACTCGTGTAAGTAGCAGTGTTACGTCACATCATACATGTAGGTATAGGTACGTATAAATACGGGTGAGTTTCAAAAAAAAAAAAAAAAAAAAAAGCGAGTAAGTTGATGTACAGACATAATTTAATGAAAAAAAGTGGGAATCGCTTTCATTAGAGAAAACACAAAGCCGGAAATGGCCAAATTAAGCTTTTGGCGCAGATTCGTGCCAAAGCGTGTTTGGGTACGCGTACATTTTTTTGTTAAATCTGTTTTTCTTGTTTTACACTAATTAAATAAATTATACTTCACAACGGTACTATACAACTTCACCCTATCTTCCTTTTTAGCTCTTGATAAATAACATTGTAATTATTTGATATGTAAGTCGTACATTTTTCATCGACCTCTGTAAAAGTCAAAAGGCCCATACGCAGACGATACATAATTATTTCAGCCGCATCAATAGTAGGTTCCATAGAGAGACTCACTAATTCGTGCATTAAAAGTAGGCAAGTATAATAAATTTCTTCCTCTGAGATTGTTGTATGAATTGACAAAATCCAGGATTCATAAACGAACAAATTATCGCTGACCCTCTTATTTTCCCTACATATTCCTGCATAATCTTACACAGCCGTTTTTTAACCTCTTCTGTTACTTTACGAGCAGTGCCGGCTGGCTCGCATCGAACGCGTAGCCATATTCCAAGGGGGCGACTTTTGTTTTCATCGGCCACCCCAATAGATTTTTCGCACTCAAGTATAAATCTCGGTGTCTCCTATAACCTACATACATACACATAGGTGCTCGTCTCCACCCCACGTAAGGAGTAAACTGCCGTAACTGCTTCCTCCCCCGTACCACTCGAGCAGTACTTTAGATATACAATCCACGCGCGTTTTTTTTTTTTTTCAAGTTTGCTGTCCAGCGGTAAATCTTCCCTTTTACTCGCCCTCCGGTATTTTTTTTTCTTTTTTTTTTTGCGCTCACGAGTGAACGGGAATAATAATAAGCACCGCGAAGAGAAGTGGGTGGAGAAAAGTGGTCGTAAAAATTGATTGGCCATTTACCTCCGTCTGTTCGCTCAATGAAGTTTACGCGCGCAGCCACCCCGTTATTCACTCCCTCCTCCTATTCCTATTGTTCACCCCCCCCCTATACCACTCGTGCATCTATCCGTGCATTGTGTTGGTATATGTACGTAACCGGCTTTCGCATAATCAAACCCACAAGAGCAAAATCGCTGCGCGCAAATGCACCACAACTACTTACGCACTCGATCAAAAATCTATGGAAATTGCTCCGTTAGTTCAGGAGAATCCCAAGGTAGGTTACCCCGCAAAAACCTTGGAGGCAATACTCACGGTGTACGGGTGAGAGATCTTCGTGAGGTGGAGCCAAATGGAAAGAAGTAAAGCTTACATATCAACATGTTACGTCGAAAAATGATCGTAGAAAGTTGCTTATAGCAACATTATTCCCGTATAAGTTGTCATTTTTGTTGCAGCAAGTGTGTATTGAGTGACTTTTTTGACCGACAACCACTGCATCTGCGGAGCTTTGTAGTTTTCAGGAGCCCGCTGCTTGTGTCGATGCAGTTCACTCGAGCACGTGAATAAGAGGGTATACTTGAAGGTATTTCAATCGAAGAAAGAAAGAGCGAGAAAGTAGAGTATCTTCTTGTGTAACCTTCCTTTTTCAAACGCGCTCCTCTCCCTCTTCGTACTAATTTCCGGTTGTCGATGTCCTCATCGTCTTGCTCATAGGGTGCACTTCCTTCGACGACTACCTGTACCTACACGTAAATCCAATACGAAACGCGTACCTTCCCGTTCTTTTCCGAAGACTGACATGTATAGGGCAGGAAGGGGACGACTGACAGACAGAACAATAAGGGTTGAAAGTATAAGGGAAAGGAAAATACCGTGAGAAAAAAATATTGGGGAAAGGAGTGGAAATTCGTATTCTCAGAAGCAGCGAGTAAATGAGTTGAGAAGACTCGAGCGTCTGCATATAAATATATTATCCTGAGAGAAAGAATGGAAAGAAAAGACTTTGCGGGCGGTAAGCGGAAAAGATGGATATACGTGCAGAGTTGAAGAATAGAGAGGAAAGGACCCGAATGGGGAATATGGGTATAAATCGTTGACGAGGGTAGTTATTCTTTTTTGTGCAATAAGTATATGCAACACAAGAGCAAAAAAAGGGGTGCGATACTCTCTCTCTCACTCTCTGTCCGAGAAGAAATGGAAGATGCGAGCGAGATAAGAGATATCGCAGCTGCAGTGGCGGGAACACTCGGTACGCTGCCAGCGTAGCAAAAGGAGGAGAAGAAGGTCGAGACTGTCGAGGGTCGAAAGAATGAGAGGACCGTAGTGCGATAACTACGTACATGATATAAGTCTAGGCGCGTCTACGGACCCGTACTTACTTCACGAAAAGGTGCATTCACCGGCAAGGCTGGCTTCTCACTTTCTTCTTCCCACTGACTCCGCTATCGCCCAAACAGTCGACCTCTTTATAACACACACCAGATCCCCGCGCTCCTGAGCCATATAGATGCAGCATCGCTCGGTGGGATGCTGCTGCCGCTGCGCTTGCGTGGGAGTAACGCCCAGTGCATATCTCCTCTTTACAGAAGGTTGAAGATACAGCAGCGGCGCGCGCGAGATTCGGAGCCAAACGGGCGTGAGTGCAATTCAGTTGCGGCAAGTGTCGCGAGCCGACCGGATGCGAGCTCCTCTCTTCAGTGGATTTGGTGACGGTGTCGTGTAGGATTATAATGGTTACTAGCGTCATATAGCACATACTCACTGTAACTGTGTTCCAAAACAGCAGAGTAGAGGATGTGCAATAGTCAGTCTCCGGTGAAGCTATTCCCACGTGACTCGTAACGAGCCTGTGTTGGTGTATCTATTCTAATGCAGTAGCGTAACGAGTATGTACAACCGTGTCGGAGCTGTCCGTCTCCTGTATACTCCTATATGTGTCCTGTTCACATGCAACAATGGGTAGGAGCCAAGGGATCCCATCACAGCCGCGCTCTCCTTTGTGTCTGACCAAATGCTGACTCGTACTACTGGATCCCGCCTTTTCCATAATCTAATGTATTTGATGCCCAATTATTATACCTGACGTTGTGATTTCGAGTGTAAACAGTCACTCTGCAGTGTACGTTTATGTGTGTTAATGTAGTGTCGATAAATTATTTAAGAAAGTATATCATTGAAAGCAAGAAAGAAAAAAAAATGTTTCGCAAAAATGACAGATTGGAGCGCCGGTTGGTGCTACTTACTGATGAGCCGATGGCCATAGCCAAATTTGGCTGTAGGGCGATTTTTGCATTCAGCTTTGGTTGTAACATCAGTGAGATACATCAACAGCAGTCAAACGATGGGGCAGACGAAGTAAGAGTGGCCAAGGCAGAGCCGCGTCAGCCACGCCGACGATGAGCGAGTCTGAAGAAGAGGCAGCTACGCCACTTGCCAAGACTCGTGGCCTACGCTTGTACAGTAGCCAAATACCCTTTGGCCGGTCTGCTACGGTAAGTTGCATGACAGTGTGTCTCCCTTTGAACTTGGCGTATCCACATTTAATCTTTGGAGGAGATGTTCGATTCATCGCCAATCAACTGGTATTGGGTGTCTCCTGTCTTTTAAAGAAAAAAGGTTCACTGAATAAAGTGTGAAAGAATTATCTTTTTTCTGCCTTAGTTTAACAAGAGAAGTTGTCTGTTTTGCATATGAATGAGATATAATTATATAGTAAAATGGGTCTTTCGAACTCAGAGATTACATACGCAACTGAGCTCCGTAGAGGATAAATATTGTTGTCGTCGTCTTGTATCATCGACAAGATAATAGCAATAGGGGGAAGAATTTTCTTATTTTTATGCGATGATAACTTTTTTCGCAGAAATATATATTTATATTTTACTCTCTTTTTTTACATTCTTTATGTTTCCAATAGAGAGCTTTCAGATTCTTCTTGACAAAGTTTTCATTCGGCTTTAAAAACCAATCTTGGTTTTGAAAGAATGAAAATCCACATGAGTTTCATACATTATAATCGTAATGTACACTATTGTCTATTTTTTGTAGATTAAATAAAAGACATACAGTCAAATCAAGTAACAAAATAAAAAGTAAACCTTTCATAGTTAAAAACAGTTTGGCTCCAATGATTTCAAAAACTCGAAGCTCAAAACTAAAAATAATACTCCATTAACTCCACTTGAAAACATCAAGACTTTGTTTAAATGTTTGTAAGATACGTTGAAGATAAAAATTTTAAAATTAAAAAAAAAAATCAACCTCTATAACAGCAAAAATAACAGCAATAACAACGACAACAACAACAACAACAACAACATAATCTCCGATTCCTGGGTAAACCTTCTTGTGTTTACAAGCAAACAACGCGCCATGTATTATTTTTATTTTCTCAAGAGCATACCATCTGAATCGGCGATATCGCAAGAACAACATTCTGGTGATGGAACGTGCACGTGTGTACGTGAGGAAATGGACACGCGTATGCAGGCGAATTGAGGTCGGATTGGTACATCCCGGTAAACGCAGTCAGTTCTAAACACGGCTCGGACTTCAATTACATGCTTGACCGAGCTAAGCCCCATTGCGCTACCTCGAATCTGACCCAATCTGCCCCCACCCCATCTCCTTCCTTGTTTGATTGGGCGTAATTACCTTTTTCAAGGGATTAATTTTCAATTATCAAAACATAATTGTGTTTTGAATCTTGATGTGTGGTATGCTTATTCCTAGAATGCAGCTTTTTTTTATTTCACAAATAATATAACTATTTATGGCAAAAAACTGGATGATTATATTATGAATGAAAAACAACCAAAACATTCCTAATTTATGTTAATATAAATCGCAGTACTCTATAAATCAGTACGGAAAATATTTTGTATGAAATGTCCATTAAATATTGAATTTTCTTCGCTGCACTCCAATAGTCGTTTACTCAACAAGCCATGGTATAGACATAAATAAAGATTAATGTCCTCTTAACTCCAGAAACTCTTTTATTCGGAAAAAAGCATCACGTGCTTTGTGTATTTTTCAAGTCATTCAAGTATTTTTTAACGACAGTGAAATTTGATCAATAATTCAAACCAACATCCAATATCCGTAACAGAAGCGTCTTCGACGTTTCGACGATTTATCAGAACAGTTTTACCATTGAAAATTTCTCTATAGCTCCAATTGACACCTATTTCTTTATAATTTATATTATAAAACAGAGGCTGTTAAACGATTCAAGTAAATTTTAATTTTACCAACACGTAAATCGACGTACGAAAAATTCACGCTGGAATTATTGCAATGATCATGTGAAGTGACGTGTTATTAATCGCATATACATGAATGAAGCGAAGCAAATTCTCGACTCCTTCCTCACGTCTTATCATCCTCTATACTTTCAGCAGCTTCTTCTTGGTTGTGCACCCAAGTATTTTATAACTTGTGTACTCATCCACGCTGAAAACAGTTTTGTTTGTCCACTTCACCCCTTCATTTTGACGTTGCATCATAAGCACTATTCAGTTGTGAAGGTAAGTATTGCAACATTGTTTAAGTGCAAACACGATCGAAACAGTACACATTTTTGTTTCATGAGAAATCAATGTGATAACTTCATTACGATCATTTCTTCTATTTGAAAGTATCTTGTCCACTCAATGCTGTTTTTTTCTTTTTTTCAAAGTATCAGAATCAATAATTTATGAAAAAAGGAAGGGATCGAGAACTTTTAGGAGTTAAACGTCGGCGTTTGCAAAAAACTCTATTCGGAAAGGTGGATAGTCAAGGGATTGTAATCGCGAATTGAAAAAAGTCTTCCGTGGATCGATACGACCCCGCTCTCTTTTTACAGCCATTTAGTTACACTGTGGTCTGTGTAAAGAGATTTGATTGTTCTTTTATATCGCGTGCTGTGCACAGATAATGCAGATTTCATAAAAACTGCGTTAACTGATGCAAAATAATTGTGCGTCCAGCATATTTTTATGAACACAATGCACGCTGTATTTCACGAGTTTAATTCGAGGTAAAAAATAAAAGTTGGATGGTACAAATTGATACAAATATCATACTAGATACAAGAGTACCGAACATCAGCTTGTATTCACTTAATTATTTTTAACTTGATAATTATGATTTAACGAAATTTGCATTCTCGTAAGGTAGATAACTGTACTGTCCAAATAGTGCTCCAATGCTTTTTTTTTTATTGCTCTTAAAGCTCGAACCGTTAAGTATGTCGTGGTTACCCAACCGTATACTTATTTATATTGAATGTAACTAGACGCTCAAACCACGACTATTGTAGAAAAAAAATTAGGCGAAAATTCTTAATTTTGAAAAAAAATGGGCATGAGTTTATTTCATCCTAGTTTATCAGCACTAACGCGTACAAAGTACTCGCAGCAAAACGCACGCAGGTCAAGAACTCGAACGCACTGGGTCCGGAAAAAAATGATACCACTTAGCTGTGCACAGACCTTCCGCGCAAATAACGGCGATCAATCTGCGCTTGCACAGAAGTAAGGGTGGATGGAGGGGGTCAAGCGACAAGCGCACATTAATCGTCCCTCGCGCGCGCACGCACTTACGGCAGAGCCAACAAATAGCCGCTGCACAAAAGCGAAAACTCAGTACTTTGCTCCCGTGGATCGCGCGACGCACTTAATCTCTTTTGGCCACCCGGTAATTCACTTTGAAAATACCTCTCCTTTTCCACCTCTTTAGCCTCTCCGTACGTGTTCCTGATGTATGGACTTTCGATGCCATAATTGTGTGCACCATTTTCCTGGCCTTCGAGATTTTTTGGTCCTTTCACGGTTAAAATGACAGAAAAAAAGACGTAGCTACTATCGTTTAACGTGTAGACGCTGTAAGCGCGAGTATGTAATATCCACGCGAGAGATTTTTTTTTCTCTCCATTTCTCTCCTGCAGCTCTCTAACACGTAAAAGCTTCAGCTTTGGGGTGGTATCTACTACTCTAAAGTTTGGCTTGCGTACCGCTTTGCGTGAGTCTATGGTCGAGAAATTCTGAAATTGTTGGAAGCCCCAAAGGCAGAGACGACCCCACATTGCATCGCGGCTCTACGTGTCCGGCTAAATAGCTGCAGTTGGTTCAAAAATCGAGAGCCATCCCCTAAAACTCTACACGTGACTGGAGGAAAGGCCAACTCCAGAGCTTTTAGGTTTCGCGTTGGTCACGAGCTTTTGATTTTAGTTTCAAAGTTGATGGTTTATGTGCCGTACGTGACTCCCAATGTACGATAGACACGTGTGTATTGCAGGTACAGTATAACCGTAAAAATTGTCAAAAAATCACTGTCCAGCCCATTTCCCTTGAATCGGTGGGTCAATATTGTTTGGGCAGCAGCCGTTGTTTCTACACGGTGCATTGGAGCAAATATCGCAATGGGGTACACAAGCGCGGGGGAAATAACAGATCGATGCTTGGGTCACAAATTAAAAGGTAAACGAGATGGTAAAATGCAATGCTTGCCTTCTGCGTATCAGACAAGCCAACGAGGGTGCATATGAAAATTGACCATCTGTTTTTATCTCCTTTACGCGTGAGTTTGACTTGAACAAACAGCGATTTCCTGGTAAACTGTACGCTTGGTCCGTCACACTTAAAATATGTACGCGATAAATGGCTCACACTCTCGATTTTTACCGAGATCTGTTTTACTTTGTATTTTGGGCTTTTCCATCCACAAATAATTAATCAAAGCGATTAAGTGTCATATTTCCCTTAAACTCCTGCTTGAAAATTTAGTACTGATGATAAAATAAATTATTTCGCTCTGCTCGCACATTATGCACGAATCAAACAATTGTCCATGAAAGTTTAATTGCGTTTAACTCGAATAGTTTAATTTCAAGTACGTACACTGTCTGTTCGAAAATTTTGGAGCACGCACGTAGTAATAATAATAATAATAATAATAATAATAAAAATAATAATAATAATATGTACGTACATACATAAACCCATACATAGTTTTCGATCCTAAAACTTCTACCTGAGGATAACGGGCACAGGTACATGTAAAATTGCACTAAACCGAATTGCCTAATTAATCGGCAACACACGTTACACCGAAATAAAGTTTAAGGATGCGTGATGGTACATACTTGAGCTTCGTTGATTGTTTTGAACGCCTATTCGAGAATGATTCATGGCAATAGATTATAAATATTAATGGTTGATAGGCAATCATCATTTTGAGTTCATGCAAAGACACACATCGGATTCGTAAACTAGGTGTCTTAAATTCTCAAACTCATGGTACACCTAACGATACATACAATCTAAAGGCCAAAGTGTAAAATATGAGGATAAAAAGAGTATAATTTCTCAAAATCACTCTCTTCGAAGTACCAAAATCTCGAAATTACTATTGATAAATTGTTGATTTGGAGATTCAATCTATTCAAAATCCATGTAAACTTTAAATATGCTTACTTTTGTATTTTTCATCAGAGCAGTATGTGTTT